CTTTTATATCAAATATATTGTTCAAATGTTTAATTGCTACATTGAATTATTATATACGATTTAGAATTTAAAATTTTTACCACAGATTTAAATTAACATCCAAAAAACCCCGAATATACAAGTTTTGCGTAAATTAATTCTTTTTAACATTTTTATTTTAATCGACTTGTATTCTAATATTTTGTGTGATTGTAATTGCGATTATTTAAATTACAGGGTGTGTCGTTTCCCGCTATGCATGTCATGATTTCCAAGTGGGCACCACCGAATGAACGAAGCGTCATTACTTCGATCGTGTATGCAGGTAAACCGAGAAATTATTCTGTCGATTAAACTTTGACAAAAATTACAACGCATTGAATTCTTACAACTTCTCGAACACGTTGTAATTTCTATTGTGTAAATTAAATGCATGGGTCACATTAATAAAAATGCATTTCAGGAACGGCACTCGGCACTGTAATTTCCATCTTATTAACCGGCTTTCTGGCTGCAAATCTCAATTGGGAATCCATCTTTTATGTAGAAGGTACACTCTGTCTGATTTGGTGTGCTACTTGGTATTTAATGATAGCGGATTCTCCGGAAGAACAGACAAAACTCATCAGTCAAAAAGAGAAGAACTACATCATTACATCTTTGGGAGGATACGACAAGAAGAATGTTTCCAAAACGGTAATCAGAAACCGGTATTATATTTTAATTTTTTGAATTTTTTTCGGTTATTTTGTTGTAGGTTCCGTGGGGACAAGTATTTCGTTCTAAACCGTTCCTAGCGATTCTGATTGCCCATTTCTGCAGCAATTTCGGTTGGTATATGCTACTTATCGAATTGCCCACTTTTATGAATCAGATCTTGAAGTTTGACATAAGCTCGGTAAGAACTAATTTGAGATTCACTGCAAAGTGAACAATTTAACACGTCATAAATTAATTTGCTTCTTTCTTTATTAGAACGCTGCATTATCATCCATCCCGTTTTTGTGCATGTGGCTCTTCACTATAATTCTCAGCAAGATATTATCCATCCTGCAGGAAAGAGATTTGATTACGGTAACGACGTCTAGAAAAATCGGCACTCTTTTTGGTAGGTTTAATATTAATTCCGACTGTTGAGAAACAAAAACGCTTTATTACTAAAAGTAATTATTACAAAAAGATTTGTCAAAATTTGAACATTCAAATCGTGTACTTGATGCAGCAATTCAAAGTAATTTTGCAATTATAATTGCATAAATTATTACAGCATCCCTCGTACCCATGTTATGCTTAATACAAGTGTCGTACATCGGTTGCGATCGCGTAAAGGCAGTCGTCCTATTGACGATCGCAGTGGCTTGCATTGGTGGAATGTATTGCGGCTTTCTAGCAAACCATATAGATATCGCACCAAACTTTGCCGGTAGTCTGGTAGCGATGACGAATGTTATTGCCACTATACCCGGTTTCGTCGTTCCTGTGTTCGTGGGACAGTTAACACATAGAAATGTAAGTAATAAATCAGCAAAATTTTTAGAGGACACAAAGCGAAAGAACAATGAAATAATTACTTCCAAAGAAATATACTTTTGGCTGTTAAATTAATTCAATTATTGCTTTATTTCATTAACTCTTATCAATTTGAATGGCGCATTTTATTAAAACACTTTTTTTATTATTTACAGCAAACTAAATTATTTTTTGTTTATAGCAAACCATTGAAGCGTGGAGGATTGTTTTTCTCGTAACGATCATTCTATACATAATCGAGATATTGGTTTATACCATTTTTGGGAGCGGTGACGAGCAACCGTGGAACAAAATCAGAATATCTGGTGAAGAGGCGAGTAATCAGACATTACCCTTAAAGGAAAATAATGCAAAGTAAAGTTCTTACAATTTTGCATTATGTTGTATTATGAAGCATCTTTGGTAAGCATTTGTTATATACCGAATGTCTCATTTTAATATTTACTTTTGAGTAGGATTGAGCAATTTGAGTAAGATTAAGACTTGTCTCTTGTATGTACAAAATAATAATTATTTATTACATATAACAACTAATGCCTGTAACATTCTTAGATTTTAAGTTTTTTGCAGCACTTGTCATTACCGCGTTCGCATTATCTTACAAAAGTACATAGGACCCCAATTGTTGCCAAGTGTAGGAATGGCGATATGACCGTATTTTAATCCAAAATTGCCGAATTTATAAAGGCATCTCAATGGATCCAATGCTTTTTTCATATCTCTGTCCCAGAAAAGAACATTGTTAATGTAAAATTGCAGTAAATAATGATTTACTATTATACATACAAAAGATACTTACTTTACAACCATAATTGAATTGGTTTCCTCCCAGGCCTTTTTCAGCGCCATACCGACGACTCCGTCGTTCTGAATAGGACTGAGGGAACAAGTAGAATACACGACTGTTCCGCCAACTGTTATTATTTTTAACGCATTACTATAACAAAAATTATATAATAGAGGAAAACAACAGGATACATTTATAATTCTGTATAGAATGTCGAATTTTTATACACACGTTAAAATTTCCGCTTGCAACTCAGGCATTTTTAATCTCTCCCGTATCCTTTGTGGCTTGAAAATGTTGTTTTCCTCCGAGTGTAGGACGTGTCTGTCTGTGGTGCACGGTACATCCACCAAAATCTGAATCAATATAATTATTTTATTAGTTATAATTAATCATAAAAGTTTTAATTTATTAATTGATACTTTTTAGATGCTCTTTATTTTTATGTTATTTACGCATTGTGGTAACAATTTTTAAAAATGTGAATATTTTTTATATTAGTTTTAGAACATATAATTCTATTTAGATTGATAAAAAAAATTAAAAATGAGTTCACTTATTAATTAATCATAAGATTTTTTAAAAATATTGTAAATTGGCCAAATGTTACCTTATTGTACATGTCTTTGTCGTCGATAAATCTCGCGTCTTGCTGTGTTACAAATAGTCTGTCGTGCCATTGCCCAATACCGGCTAGATATTGATCTATAATATTGTGAATCCTTTGCACTCTGGACTTTTGAATGTCATTAGCGACTATCAAACGTGGCATGAGAGTCTGGAGTATGCTTAAGGTTTTCCCTCCTGGCGCTGCACACATGTCTAATATAACATCGCCGGGCTGTAAGTCCAAAGCCAATACCGGCAACACAGAAGCACCATCCAGGAGATAATAATCTATATAACAAAGTCAGAATGTTTATATCTACAATAAAATTAGAATTATCTAAAATAAATATCTAGAATAAACCTTTCATCTAGAACTAATTTTGAAAAATGTCTAAAATTATTTTTCTAGAAAAAAATTTGAGTGAAAATTAACCTAAAACTCCAGTAGATCCTTTCTTTGGTGATAAAAATTTGCTATCGTTGTCTTCTTCATATGTATATATATTGAGATACTGTGGAAATGTAAGTACTCCTTCTTGTTCAATGTTTACTGAAAAATTTGCACCTTCTTTGTAGTAGCCATAGTGTTGTGACTCTAATATCCAGTCCTCCATACCTAAAAAATAAGACATAAATTCATATCAAATTATAACATTTAATTATTGTTTTCAAGATGTAACATCAATTACCTTTAATTTTTGTGGCTGGTACAAATTCGTACAACCCACTCAAACCAGCATTAGGTTGTACAATTCGATTTTCATCTATCGTTACTTCATTCAAATCTGACTCAATAGGCTTCATTTCTACAGGCTGTAACGCTTGATTTTCTGCTATTATATCTTTATTTTCATTTTGTGTGCTTAGAGACATTGGTGATGACACATAATCTGGATAATGTGACTGTACTGTTGATAGCTGAGTATCAGCAATCAAAGATTCCGTTTTCCAATTTTTTGTTTGTCGTTCCTTTTTCTTATTACATTTATGTGGATTTGAATCAATCTGTTCTTTATAAGCTTCATAGATTGTTTTGAGGTTCATGGCACCTTGACACTAAAAATAATAGAATGTTACTCAAAATTCAACGATACTTTACAATAATGACATACCTCTAAATTTGACTTTATTCTATCTATATCACTGAAGCTATTTACAATAGCCATATATTTGTGCTCTTCCTTTAATAGTGCAGTTTTTATACTGTTCCATGACTTTCCATAGACATTTCCATAGAATTCATCGAAATGTTTCAGTGCTCTGCCTGTGTGCGTTTTCTTCTTTCTAATTACAGCCTAAAAAGAAGACAAAGATATAAAAACAAAAAAAATTTAATTTGTGCAATTTATATATAAATTTAATAATTTATAAGTATATATAAATGATAATTTATACTATATATTTATTTATAAAAGTTAAGATTGCACAAGTTTGTACTGTAAAAGCTACAAAATGCACTGTGTGCAAGGCACTTACCCAATGATCTGCTGCTCTATTACCGTGCTTTCTAACAATTTGCATTTTTATCAATTCTTCAAACGTCAGTCTATTAACTAGACGTGCCATTTTGTTAAAATAAATTCCCCTTGTATTATTTTATTTAAAATAGCAGTTCTCTCTACTGAGATTATATTTTACCGCATAACCAAGGATAACATAACCTAACCTAACCTAATTGAACCGAATACAAGAATTTCAGTAGAGATCCATTAACTACATCAATCTCAAAGGTTGTAAACTCTTTTTTGTAAAGTGGAAGGAATGTGTTATTTGAAAATGTAAAGTATGAAAAGTTCTTATTTTTACTTTTATCAGAAATATTTATATTTGTTGAATCTCTTAATCTTATTAATTAGCATAACTTGAAAGAAAAAAAAAAGATTTTTACATGTTTTAAAAGTTATGCATGTTATATGTATTGTGCAATTTGAAACATAAAAATCAATTAAAATAAATCTTGTTATATATATTACACATTTATTATTTATACACATATATACATATTGTATATAACACATGTATTAACATGTAGATGTAAATATATTCTATACATTTATTAATATATTTATCTGTAGCTTATTTTTATTATATTTACATTGCATATATAATATATTTCATACTATAACAGAAAATTTTATTTAAATATGTAACAATGATGTAACATGTTATATTATTTAATAAATTATATATATAAATGGGAAATCACAGTTAACGGGCAATTTACCATAAATACTTTTGTAATACTATCTGCAATATGCAGTTTTGTTGCATTATATAGATAATATTAACATAATTATATATTTACTGGAGCACATAATATATTGTATTTTGGTCAAGCCAAATAATCTTTTTATATAACAATTTTTTTATTTACTAACACTAATATATCAGGTAACTAGTGTCTAGCTCTTAAAAAATTAGACATATTATTAGCGACGTATATTATTAGCTTTGTAGAACAAAAATATCTTTAATATTGATACTATAATCAGCCATAACATTGTCATCTTTTTGACATTTTCTTACAAGACTACATCACAAACTGTCTATGGCTAATACTATCATTATATATTAAGAATAGTAACTTAATTCCATCGGATGTTATTCCACATTTTCATTATATTATTATTTTTATAATTGCTCAAAATATTGTTACTAAAAATAATGTTGAGATGTTGGAATAAAACATTCAATGGAATTTCAATCATGTGTATGTCACAATGGATATATGTATATGTTGTGTACTGTTTCTTAAAATTCATTGGTATATAAAAATTTGCAATCTTTAAAACTTAACAAAGACTAGCTGGTTGATACAAATATAATACAATAATACAATATAAATAAAATCAAATAAATAATGAATTAATAAAATTAATCAATGTATAAAAGTCGTTAGGTATAATATTGGATTGTGTAATAAGTAATTTTGGATTTTTCAATAGATTTTCTATTGAAAATTTCGAAATTACTTATTACACAACCCATTAGATTCACTAGTTCTGTGACTGCACTAGATAATTCGTAAACCTTATTTTTAATTTGTACATTCTAGTTAGTATTTGATGTTGTATCTATTATAACAGTTGGTTCATTTGATGATAAATCATCAGATGGATAAATAGTGAGTGTTTCTTTTTCTTCTACTTGCATACAAAAATTGGAATAAAAGTCAGCCAATTCTAATATCAAGTCGGATTGTTCATTATTAAGAGATGCTTCAGAATGGCTTTTCTCTTGGCAACAATTATTTTGTTCATTTTCTATAAATTTACAAAGTGAGGATTCCAAATGAAAATTTGTTTGTTCTATATTTCCATTATTTGATTCAGAAAGTGTCAACTTGTTGTGTTCTTCAAAATTTTGAGGAGAGGTTTCCGTTATAGAACATCCTTGAAAAGTCTCTGAACATAAAAATTCTTTGTCATCTCCTAAAGATTTGGATACTGGCAATGAATCTGCTTTAAACAAGGGTTTCCGAATTCGTATCTTTATACACGATCCTGGTATTTCCGGTTGTAAATACAACATTCGTGAGGGTATTGCATCAGGCTTTAACATTCTTCTTGAACTCCGAACTCCTTAATAAAAAAAAAAAGGTTATATATTTTACAGAACAAAGTGTTGATAAATTTACAAAAATAAATAAATGATTACCTGTCCAATAACTTTCTCGATTTTCAATAATATCATTGTCGTCAAAGTGGAGAGCGCATAACCTTTTTGACCTCGATGATGTTGAACAACGAAACCCAAGTGCACGTCCCCACGCAGCTCGACGCTTTTCATCTCTTGGAAAGCTAAAAGTTCCCAGTCCTTTACAATAAGGAACACAACACTTTCCCATTTTCCAAACTTTTCATAAAATTATGTTTAATAAGATTGCATTGTAGGTAGATTCATGCTCCAGAGAGCAAGCAAACTATTGTACGTTTAGTTCGTTGATTGCAAAAAAATATATAGAATATTTTATAAAATTATATTAAAATAATTTATTCATATATCAATATTAATCTAAAATAACTTTAATATATATCATCATGTTTTTCACAGATTTCTTTAAATAAATAAGATTTATTTCTATTTGCAATAAAGTCATTCAAAATTTCGCGCTTTGCAGACAAGCTATTGTGCTGCCCTCGTCAGCCGAAATCAGCTGTTCGAGCAGTGCTGAGAGATTGGGGGAACAAAATTCGTGTACGCGCAGCATCGCAGAACGTAAGAGCTGGTAAGCGCTAACGAACGATACGCGCAGAACGATATTTGACTTGAATTTGACGTGTATGTATGTAAAGGGCACTACCGAATCCTTTGTAGGCGAGAGGTTCGAAAGGTAAATAGTGTCAATAAAGTTTCTGCAAATTAAAGAAAAGATGGCAGTCATAAATAATTAATAAATTTTTTGCAATCAACAGCATTTATAAAAATGGCGTCATCCGGCGCCACTACGTGTGGATAATTTTACTGGCTGCCGCAAGATGACGTTCGCTGTTTATCAACTGTATTTGGGTAACTTTCAAAGTTGGCTATCCGCCGTCTTTAGATGACGCTATCGGCATCCGAGCTCACGGCTATTCTTGGCGATATTACGCGCGCCATTGCAATTCACCGTTAGCAAACGAGAAAGAGAGAGAAATGATGAGGCATACAGGAAAAGAAGGGCGTGAATCGCGTGGGTACACTGGCGAAGAGAGGAGAAGGTAAGAAGTGGAGGGATGCGAACGAATCCATGTTACGGTACTACCTGTACTACCATTTACGTTCGTTTTTGTTTATCCTTTCAATTCCGCGTGTCGCGATGCAGATACCCTGGCCGCGTGTAACAGCGCGAGTAGCAGGCGTGTATTATTCTCTATTTACTATTTTCATGTTTTGATTATTCTTTTTCCGCTGTATCCGATAGTCACCGATTGATTCAACGTTAAAACTTAGTATGGCGGATTTATGATACCCACACACACATTGCGTTTGCTTCTGATACAATACAAATTTAGGAAATTGGGGAAACAGAGGGGCGAGAACAAGGTGGTTGCCCCCCTAAGAAATGCCACAAAGTAGGTGAGCTAGGGGAGAGGGGACATCACAAAAGCAAACTTTGTTTCTAGTTAGATCAGGTCGTTCACACCTGCGCGCCTCAATTCCGTCTTTAACTGTTATTCATTATTTGATCTTTCCTTATCGAAATATCACGAAATCGGATATAAATAGCGATAATGACTATCGTGTTTCTATTACAGGAACTTTCCCCGCCCTCCTCTTTTCCCCCTCTTTGGGCTGTGAGGTCGACCTAAATGGATTTCCACTGTGCAGTGTCTATCGTGATGAAACCGTCAGGAAACCAAACAGGTAAATACTCGGTTGGTGCGCGCGCGCGCGTGTGTTATCAAACGTGCGACGCGAGGAAACGACGTATTTGTCGCGACATGGTCCGCGCATCGCGAGCGGACAATCCAGCATGTGGCGAAGGCAGGAGGGGTCTGTGAACGGATCTATGAACGGCGGGTACGAGGGTGCGGAGAGAGGCACGTCCAACTCTCCCTCCAAGCGCGGAGGCAATCGCGCGGCATGTGAAACGTGGCTGTTTTGAAAGTCCCCGCGCGTGTAACGCGCCTATTTTAGAACCGCGAGGAGCTTTATGAAATGCTATCGCACAGATCGAATCCCGGATTCTTCATCTAGCAAAAGAAATGTCAAAAATTGATTATAGCGAGAAATTGAGCATTCGTGATTTATAATATCAGAATTCCACGGTATCAAAGATCACTACCGAGTTGAATGTTAGAGATTTGTAAATCGAGAAACAAGTAGCAAGTCGCAAGTAGCAGTATTTTATTGAATGTGCGCGGTGTCGAGCATCCGCGCGAAATCGTGGATAAACCCGTGACGATCTCGCTCGACCAATCCAATCCAACTTTGTAACCCTCGAAACGGTGACTAGCGGTGAAAGTCTTTGATAGAGATTTGTGGACGACGGAAGGATCGAAAGGAGGACGATGTCTCAAAGAGAGAAAGATGTCTCTCTATCGTCATTGCGAAAACACATGGGGTACACCGCACCCTGTCGATACACACGAGACTTGTGCGAGCGACTTCCCTGTATCTTCCTCCCGTCCATCTCCTCCCCCCGTCTCCCGCCGCCCACCGAGTGAATCTCTCGACGACCCGAATCGCTGCTCGACAGCGAAGCTGGTTTCGTGGATCTCTTCATGAAAGGCACGTCGTATGCGATTTGTCGAGGAAGAGTGAGACAGCGGGAAGGGAAAAGGCAGGGGAAAGAGAGGGCGAGCGCGGTCACGGGGTGTGACGGGACTTGGGGGGCTCGTAAAGGCAATGCACTGTAAGGAGCTCACGACGGCCATACTCTCCCTCTTGCCTTCCCTCTTCCCTCTCGCTCTCGCTGTTTCTGAGTTCTCGCTCTTCCCCCTCCGTCGATCGCGCGTTGCGACTTTCTCTCGCTCTTATCGTGCATCCCCCCCTCTCTTTCTCTCTCACACTCCCCCCTCTTTCCCCTCATCTTTTCTCTCGGCGTCCTCTTCCCTTCCTCTATCTCTCTCTTTCTTACTCTTCTCATCGTTTCTTCATAGTCTATTATTGCTTGCCCCCCTCCCCTCTTTCTTTGTATCTATCTATCGTCTGCCGTTTTTCCCTGCTCTTCTATATCTTCCTTTCTCCACCGCCCTCTCACTCGTGGAGGGCGCGTTGGGGCGCGATCGCTACTAGTAGCATCGCTTGTGAATAACCATCTTGACTTAGCGAATCTTCGATTCAAGAGATCTTTTTACTCAGATGATTCAAACTTTTTTCAAGTTGATTTTTCCCAACCGCGATTTTAAATTCAGGCAGTGGAATTCACCCGCGCAATCAATATTTGTATGTACTTCAAATTATGATCAAATTATTCATTCAAAATTAATAGAATAATTCATATTTTTATCGTTTGAAAATCGTCATGTTGCATGTAACGAAAGACACAATTGTCACTTATTAAAGTATTTTTAAGTGGTTTTTATAATCTGCACGTGACTCGATAAAATTAACGATTGTCATTTTTATCTGTAAATGGAATCTAACAATTTTGGTTACATATTTGGCCGGGGTTATTCGAATTTTTCAAGAAGCTGACATTATTTATTTGTGCAAGATGAGAAGAACGGAGGGAAAAGGAGGGAAAATAAAAATTTATGAGATTGAAAATAATTAAACGACTGAATTTCGCGTGATTTAGATGAAAAAAAAGTATGCGCACATACGGGACGGAAGGTCCGGAACTAAAGAACATTGGGGAAATGGCAACATTCGCGCGGTACACAATACTGTTTCCTGCCGTTCATAAACTTTGATCTTTGTTTCGCCCCTCTCTGTCATGTAATGCCACTGCGTTTATATGTACTTCCTATCTGCTGTAGTAAATCTAATCGATCACTGCATAGAAGACGGATAGAATTGTGACAATTACTTACTAAAAAAGTCACGTGTGCACACTAGTGCAAATTAAAAAAATGATCAGCGATAAATTATAAACCCAAATAGTTGGGAAAAAATTGGAAATTGTCATACATAGAATTAGTGATACATTACGCCGTGTAATCAGAATTCTACTCGGTATAACGGTATCCAACTGAATAGATAACGGAATATATAAAAGGATGAAAGGGTTGAAATTGTTCTCTTTCGCCTCGGAAAGTCAAAAGTCTTTTCACACTCGGCGGGCAGAAGGACTTTCCACGCGCCACGTTGCTCTTATTTCAAAGGCACTAACAATACACGGTTGATTCCTTTGGATCGAAAGAAGAAAGGATCCGCCGAAAGGATCAATTCTCTTAGATCTCTTTTATTTACCGTTGCCGGTCCGATCTTAGACATGTCACACGTGCGTCGTGTGCAAGAGCTGAGAGTGCGCACATACACGTCGTCGTTCGGGGTCGTTGAACGAGCAGGGGGTACACACGACGAGGACGATAGTAATGACCGCGCGAACGCGAGTGCACCAACCTACTTATGTCGACCCTGGACGCAACTCACATGCATACGTACGTGTATACGTACAAAGTCTGGTAATAAGGTGACCCGGAGGGTGTGACCCGTGACCCACATGCGCTACTCTCTCTTTCTCCTTTGCTTTCTTTCTCTTTCCTCGCGCTGGTTCCGATTGGAAGTCCTTTTAACGTTTAGGAATACTCAAAAAAAAAAAAAATATTAACCCCTTAGATATTATTAATGATACATCATTTGAAAACTGCCAGCGTTAATGATGCATTTCAAAAGAAATATTTTTGTATAGAATTTCCGTGAAACACGATATCCATAACTTTTTAGAATTGTTGAATGCGAATTTCTCGTCAAAATTTTTTTAAATTTAATATTGAACACCTAATATACATAGTAGATAAAAGTGTCAAACATTATTTTACTTTCATCAAACTTTATTTCTGAATTTTTATTCTTTGAATTCAAATCTAATTTTCAAGCTTTGAAATTTAGGAAAATATTAGTTTTCCACAACAATAAAATTTATTTACTTTTATTAGTAATCTAAAGTTAATTTTTAAGAGAAATCAATTTGTGTGTAATTAATTAAGCAATTAATTAAGAAAAGATAATTCCTCATTATTTCACTGGTGAAAATCACGTTCCATTATACATTGTATGAAAGACGATACCTTAGTCTGATTATTTTCCAATAAAAACACACAAATCTTTTCTTTTCTCTCGCATCCTTCTTCTCGATCTCCGAATACCCGGAGTTACTCTTTGCATCTCGCTTTTCTCGCTCTCTTTTTCTCCTCTCGACGATGTACGAGGATGAAAGTAGGTAGATAGGTGGACAGACGGAAGTCAGTTTAACGGTATCATCTGAGAGAGCTCAGTCCAAGCTCTCGATCCTTGGCGTGAATGGGATAATCCGACGAAATTCTTGGACATTCTCGCGTCTGCGACGCACTGTATGTACATTCTTTATCGGGGTGTTTCATATCTCACTATGCAAAGGTGAAAAATTATTGTTTTGTTATAATTGTCATCAAAGCGCTGACACTTAACTCCGTTGCTTGACCAATAAAAACTCTTAAATACAATTGCCTGTACACAAGTTGAAATTTTTTTCGATTTGACTTTTCAAATGCTTGAAATGCCTCTTTTAATACTTTGAATATTCAATACAATTATATATATTCGATTTTACTTTGATTTATCGAAAGCTCTTTTTTGGGTGAAAATTTGTCGTTTATTTTTATTTTTCCCTTTTTATTTTGTTTTTTTCTATTTTTAAATCGTAACAAATGAGCTTTTGTTAAGATTCCTCCGCGAAAGTCAGTTGACTTTCGAGGGGGCAATCGTGCCTTCATCCGGATAGGGTTGCGCGGAAACAATAGTCGTCGAGAAAGCGGGCATTGACCCTGCGGCACTCCCACACTGCATTACGTCAGGTCACATCCACCACGTGTCTAACCCCTCTCATTCTTGTTAACGTTTTATGTGTACTTCCAGCGCGGGGTTGCATTTTACGATGTATCGTCTCCGCTATTTCAGTTTTTTCGAGAACAAAAAAGAACAGGAAGAAATTTCGAATCGACTTTGTTTTCTTTTTTTTATTTTTTCTCTCTTTCTCTCTCTCTCTCTCTCTCTCTCTCTCTCGAAGAAAGTATAACATAATTAAGGATTCCCGTATTATTTGGTGGAGTGAATAAAGTATATATCATGGAGCCATCGGCAACTGCGGCAACCTGTTGCAACCACCTCGAACACTGAGCCATAGCTCAGCGAAGAACGTTTACCTGATTCAAAGATAACTGGCAGGGAAACTGGCTTTGCGATGGACCGAATGATAGACTAAATTAGAATTGGATAGTGCGAATAATATACAGCAAATTTGTGCAGATACGATTTAACATAAACATGATAATTCGAAAATCTATTTTACAAAGTCCAAAAGAGTCTGCAACAAAATATCTGTTCTCCAAAGTTTCCACATTTACAAAGTAAAACGAATTCATCAAAAGGCCAGTGAGAATCTTTTATCAGGCAGCTAATAAGCGTTTCTTTTAAATTTAAGAATTTTATGTATAAAGAAGTTTAATTACAAAATTTTTATTTATAAAAATATAAAATTAAATTTATTAAGAAATATATGACGATAATTTATTATTTATTTACTATTGTACTTCTATTTTACAACTATTGTCGTTTAGTTTCGAGTGTGCTTTGTGGGGCTGAACTTTCTCAACAGATTCGATTAATTCGGTTAATAATCTTATCATCTGTGAATCCACAAACGACTCGGAAATCCGTTCTTTTTGAATGGAGTCGATCTTGCTACCTGTCTACCTAACGACCTGAATCGGCAGCCG